TTTTATCTTCTTTACTAATGTGGCATTTCCTGTTTTTCTTTTGACGTAGATTAAAACGACGTCAGTTCTATTATTTCAGATAGATGGTAAAACGACGTCGCAGCATATGAAATTTACCTCGGATAACTTTACATGTTATCTAGAGCAAGTAACGATCTCTAGATTTTTTATATTTATTCATGATTATGATGAAATGGCGCACTATCGGAATGGTGCAAATATTTTTGGCCATTCTTGAATACTCGATCGCCTGCTCGGGGTTTTTTAGAAAAGCAGGAAAATGTGGAGAGGTCTATGGAGTCTGAAGATTAGGCAAAAGTTAAAACATTTTTTGTGGAGAAGTGGCGTTATTTACTTTGGTGGTTATGGAAAACGTGAATTTGTGGTTGTTGGAAAAATCTTGGGTACCAGAAGTGGCGGTGGTGGAAAATGCTATGCGGGACTGGAAGGAATTTGAAGCAATTCCGGTTGACGGGTAGTGTCGGTGTTGTCTCGGGTTTGTGGTGCTGAGGATGGTTTGCTAGGGAAACTGGTTGGTTTTCAGTGGTAGTCATCTTCAAGTTTTGACAGGAGGGTGTTGATTTTGCTGTTGGGGTGTAGGTTCTTTTTGGTCAGTTAGTATTTTCTCACTTTGTTTTTGAGACCTCTTTGTAAATAGTGGTAATGCTTAGTGTTGGTTGCTGTAGGTTTTTGTTTGTTTTCTATTTGCAGGTTGTGGTTGTTGTAGGACTGTGTTATTTTCTTTATTTAGTTTTATTTGTCCAGGTTGGGTTATCTGCTGGTATGTATGTAAATCCAGTTGATGGTTACTTTGGCTAGTATGTATATTTATTTATTTGGTAAGTTAAGATTTTAGCTTTGTTAGGATTCTATATATTGTCTCTTCTTATTGAAGACGAAGACGATAAGAAGTTTATAAAATAATTTATCAGATTGAGTTTTCTCATCTTGTTCCCTTTTCGTTTATCACTGTGCTACATCAGTTGGTATCCATGCTTTAGCTACGATCCTAGATGCCGCCAAAACGGAACGATCCGGCCGATGACCGAATGGACGCGGCAATCGAAGCCCTAACTCTGCAAACCGAGTTGATGGGCCGAGATATGGCGGACCTAGCGGCGGGTATGGCGGATATCCGGGAGGCGATGCAGCTACTGATGCGACGCGAGCAGACGAAAACATAGATATCGTACAAGCTCTTCATTTCCTCAGTCTCACCATATGACATCGCACGTGCACTTTACTAGTTATTCTGAAAAACATAGATTCCGTACAAGCTCTTCATTTCCTCAGTCTCACACTTCTCCCTTGCAAAGTACACAAGAACAATCCAAAGCAAACTACACAAGAACAAGTCACACCATTTGATGCTTAGATTAAAACAACCTGGAATATGTTTAAGCTTAACTCCACTACAGAGTACACAAGAACAATCCATTGCAAACTACACAAGAACAAGTCACACCATTTGATGCTTACTTGCTTAAATTAAAACAACCTGGAATATGTTTAAGCTTAACTCTCGATCTATAATTAATCAATTCAAGCTCAAATGTGATTATTTGAAGCTCGACTTGAATTCTGAAAAGAAGATTCAGCTATATGTGAATTTTAACCTGGGCTCAATTTCTGATAAAAGCTACGTAATTATATCCAAGGGAGTAGATGTCATCAAAACCATCCGGGTTCAAGAAAAAATAAATAAATAAAAAGACAAATAAACACAATTATATCCAAAGGGAGAAAAACTGTCAGGATCACTTCTTATTCAACACATCACACTCACATTCTTGTTAACATTGGATGGAAATACAAAGTACTGGATACATACAAAAGAGGCACTATACAGCTGATACAGCCTAATAGTTCTTACATATTGTTATCAGTTTATAGTCATACCAAGTTCTGGAGTCTATCAATATATGTCTACATGAACTTATATATATTTCACCTTCTATCTGCAAACGGATGCACATAAGTTAGCACTTTTTTTGAGAGTACATGGAGATCATACCGCGATTTGTCCTTCTTTGAGCTGTAGAGTTATCGGTATATGCTCTTTGTCCCCAAAACCATTATCTTTAGAATCTGTCTTCTGTGTTTGAGCATTTGCGTTTGTGTACCTTCCAACTGGGATGTCGTGATTATGTTTGCCCTCGTATGTAGTAATCACGTCTTTTGGGTCTGATGAAGCCCTCTCGACATGTTTCCGGACATTACAGCCTGCATGTGTACATCTGTAGTAACTCCTGTGCAAACAAGATCAGTATAGCCAGAGTATGGTGGCACATTATAATGAAACTATTCCCCGTGTGGTGTAGCCTAAAGCAATAAGACTTCAGTTATCTTTAAAAGTTGCAAATACCTCTTAGAGGTTTAAATCTGCCTAACAAATTGATTTCATATAAGAGAGTGGATGAAATTTGTAAAAGGATTAGTAAATGTAGTCAGAGATATTTGCTTTCATGGGTACTGTTTCTAGTTAGCCATATTATTCCAGGATAATGCAACGCCTGTCTAAAAGCAGTTTTCAGCCAGACATATTGTCTATTTGAAGAGATGACAAGTAAAGCTAATAGAATTGGGGCATGAAAAAAGTTTAACATATGCTCGAAAATAGCAGGAAACACGCCCACTGACCCTCAAGTAACAATGGCATTCCAGACAGTCATATTTTAGGATGCCAAGGGGACAGCGTATTTTATATTTATCACGCTAACCCGAGGATTGGGGCATTTGCACAAAAGCAGATAAGTTTCAAATTTGTAACCGAGTTTTCTTACTTTAACTAGAAGTAATGTCAATTCAAGTGGCACAAAATTTTTGCATTGTTTTGCAACACAGGAAAATTGTAAGATGAGGCCAAATATCAAGCAGAAAAAAGAGTTAGTTTACTAATTAGCTAAGGTCCTTTTATACTGCAAAAATAAAAAGCAAATCAATCGACAGTGGTACCTTGGATGAGGATTCCCCTTAACCACTTTTTGTCCATACTTCCTCCATTTGTATCCATCATCCAATACATCAACTTCGCTTGTTGTTTGCAACACAATTTTTGATTCCGACACAGTTTGTTGTGATGAAGCAGCTGGCACAGATGTCACCATATCCAAGCTCCTGCATCTCAAAAGGAGTTCTACTCACTCTAATGAAGTTATTATAGGACAAAACAAGACTGTGCAACAAAGATGAGGAATATCAGAAACTACCCTGAGATATAGTGCAACTACCTAAAAAGGGGAAAGAATAAAATAATATCAGTTGTCTTTCAAGAGACATCAATATATTGTTTCTAATACTAAAAATGTATCCTTAATAGTTGACACACCAAGGTTCATAGATGTAGTTTGAAAGATAAATCCAATTTTTCTTACAATATAAAACATCATATTTCAAAAACACACCCCGAAAACTAAAAATATCTTACCTTCTTTTGGCAATTGGCATATCACCATCCCCCTTGTCAAAACTATCACTATTTTCCTGATGATGCTCAAGTATCGGTTTGGTTTCAACCTGCACTAGTGAAGTCATATTTGTGGCATCCGATGCAAAACCAACTTTCCCTTGTTTACTGGGTTGAGGCTGACCGTGATTATGCTCCCCTTTATACGTAACCCCCAACACACAACCATCTGGACCTCGTTCGACCTTCTTCTTGACAGGACAATCGATATGCGTGCATTTATAGTAGCTGCGCGGGCACTCACTCGTCTTCACGTGCTTCTGACCATATTTTCGCCATTTATAGCCGTCGGCAGCTGGCTTATCACAGGCAGGTTTTCTATCCGATTGAGTAAAATCAGAAATTATTGCCATCTCGGGTTCGGACGGTGGAGGATTTGGTTTCGGGTTGATAATAAAATCAGGCGACCGGTCTTTGGATGAGTGTTGTTGAGACTGTGTTTGCATTTGCTTTAGAGATTGGGATAGTACAGCCTGGGCCGTGACGTGGGCCAGTGCTTGCTGGTGAGACATTCCAAATGGGCTCTGCACGAAGTTTCGGGAGGAGTCAAGTACTTGTTAGGAACTACTCTATTGTAATACAGTAGAGAAGTAGTTGAGAAACACAAAGAGAATAATGTAAGCTTGCTCCCAGCATCGTATATTACTGCACCACCTCAAAAACATCATCCAGTTAGGATATATGCTGTACTTCAATATCATGAGGCTTACAACCAACTGAAATGTATTCTCAAGCTTATCTATGCAAGGACGTAACCCGGAAAACATCCTATATTCTTCCTGTTATTACGAACATATTAAAAGTACAGGACAACAAAAATTAGTGATTCTAATTTGACAAATGTTATTGAAATTAGACCTAGATACAAAATTCGTCACTAATAGACTTTCCTATCCCTGGATTCCACCTCTAATGACAAGAAGAACATGAATTCAACAATAAAACTAGGCCATACGACTAAAGACGTTCTATTTCTAGATATATAGCTAATCGAAGGCTCTCAACAGCCGAGGACCTACAAATTACCAAACTATATATTTCATTCTTATGGCTTCAACCTTTGAAAAAAAGGATTCCATATTCCAGGTATTAGTAGGTCATATATACATATAAAGAAATGAGAAAGAAAAAGAAACTCTACATATATTTATAGCTGAACAAAAAACAGTACTACAGTTAGAATCAAGTGAAACCAACTAATTCTCAGGCTACTATTTTTGGACAACAAGAACCTCTTTGAAAATTTGATGTTAGTTGGAATTAGTAAAACTCTGGCCTTCGGATAAACATATATGCTTCCTTAAATCTTGCGTGTAAAATTTCCATCGAATACACTTAATTCCAAAAGCGAAACTCCATGAATCTAAGCACAGCCCTAATAAAAATCCGCATGAAAATTACCTGAAGAGGTGAGAAATAGCCAGGCGAATTAAGCAATCCAGAGGGCGTCAGGGCTGGAGGTACCATGAACAAAGAGCTGAGGCTCTCCGGTTGCGGTTGCGGCGGCGGCTGAGCAGCGGCGAGTGGGGAAGCCATGGCTCCAGCTAATAGGCGGGAGAAGGAGAAAGCCTGGCCCTGCTCGGGAAATAAGCTGGAGACCAGCTGGGTCATCGGGCCCGGGCTGAACCCGGGACCCGACGCGTTGGCGAAAAGCAGGCCGCGCGGCGGGACCACGATCGTCGGCTTGGATTTGACAGCCTCTCCAGCGGTGGTGATTTCACCCATGTCGCCGATAAGGTGAAAAGGGGAAGAAGAAAACCTGATTTGAACGTCTAATGTCAAAAAAAATGTGGAATTTGAAATATTTCGTCGTCTCAAGGCACTGCTCCACTTGTGAAAGCGACCAATGCAAGCGAGAGAAAGTCAACAGAAACAAGTAAGGCGGGACCCGCACTGTAAGCTAAAAAGGATTTTTTTTTTTTTTAGCATTGCCATTTATTATGGATGATTTAATTAATTAGACATTAATTATTCTTTTAATTATAAAAATAACAACTTTAAGAAAAAAA